TTGATTTGAGGTCCNCAGTCAAGAACAAGTATCCTTTGCCTCGTATTGATGATTTATTCGACTAGCTTCAGGGAGCGAGGGTGTTCTCCAAGATTGATTTGCGGTTCGGTTATCACCAGCTGAAGATTCGGGATCCAAATATTCTTAAAATAGCTTTCAGGACCCGATATGGCCATTATGAGTTCTTGGTGATGTCTTTTGGGCTGACCAATGCCCCAGCAGTGTTCATGCATTTGATGAACAGTGTATTCCAGCCCTATTTGGACTCATTCGTTGTTGTATTTATTGACGACATCCTGCTGTACTCTCGTAGCCGGGTGGAGCACGCTCAATATCTGAGGATTGTATTACAGAGATTGTGGGAGGATAAGCTTTATGCAAAGTTCTCCAAATGTGAGTTTTGGCTTAGTTCAGTAGCATTCTTGGGGCACGTGGTGTCCAGTGAGGGTATTCAGGTGGATCCGAAGAAAATAGAGGCGGTGCAGAGTTAGCCCAGACCGTCCTCAGCCACGGAGATTAGGGGCTTTCTGGGTTTGGCAGGTTATTACCGTCGCTTTGTGGAGGGATTTTCATCTATTGCATCGCCCTTGACCAAATTGACCCAAAAGGGTGCTCCATTCAGGTGGTCGGATGAATGTGAGGAGAGCTTTCAGAAGCTCAAGACTGCTTTGACCATAGCTCCAGTGTTAGTTCTACCATCAGCTTCAGGTTCTTACACAGTGGATTGTGATGCCTCGAGGATAGACATTGGTTGTGTTTTGATGTAGGAGGATAGGGTGATTGCCTATGCCTCGCGTCAGTTGAAGACCCATGAGAAGAACTATCCTGTCCATGATCTTGAGTTAGCAGCCATTGTTCACGCCTTAAAGATTTGGCGTCATTATTTGTATGGGGTTCATTGTGAGATCTATACTAATCACCGGAGTCTGCAGTATTTGTTAAAGTAGAAGGATCTTAATTTGCGTCAGCAGAGATGGTTGGAGCTTTTTAAGGACTATGATATCACTATTTTATACCATCCGGGAAAGGCCAATATGGTGGCCGGTGCTTTGAGTCGCCGGGCAAAGAGTTTGGGGAGTTTAGCATATCTTCCAGTAGCAGAAAGACCTTTGGCATTGGATGTTCAGGCCTTAGCAGGCCAGCTTGTCAAATTGGATATTTCGGAGCCTAGTCGGGTATTAGCTTGTGTGGTTTCCAGGTCTTCTCTTTATGACCGTATCAAGGAGTGTCAGTATGATGACCCCCACTTGCTCTTTCTTCAGGACAGGGTTCGGAGAGGTGATGCTAGGGATGTGACTATTGGTGATGACGGCGTGCTAAGAATGCAGGGCCGGATATGTGTGCCTAATATAGATGGGCTTCGAGAGTTGATTCTTGAGGAGGCCCACAGCTCGCGGTATTCCATCCATCTAGGTGTCGCGAAGATGTACCAGGATTTGAGGCAGCACTATTAGTGGAGGTGGATAAAGAAAGATATAATTGGGTTTGTGGCTCGGTGCCTAAACTGTCAGCAGGTTAAGTATGAGCATTAGAGACCGGTTGGCTTGCTTCAGAGATTACAGATCCCAGAGTGGAAGTGGGTTCGGATCACTATAGACTTTGTAGTTGGGCTCCCATAGACTTCGAGGAAGTTCGACGCTATTTGGGTTATTATGGATCGGCTGACCAAGTCCGCGCACTTCATTCCTGTTTGTACTACTTATTCTTCAGAGCGGTTGGCTGAGATTTACATCCAAGAGATCGTTCGCCTGCATGGTGTCCCAGTTTCTATCATTTCAGATAGGGGTACTCAGTTCACATCGCAGTTTTGGAGGGCCGTGCAACGAGAGTTGGGTACTCAGGTTGAGTTGAGCCCATCTTTTCACCCTCAGACAGACGGGCAGTCCGAGCGCACTATTTAGATATTGGAGGACATGTTGCGTGCTTGTGTCATTGACTTTGGGGGTTCATGGGACAAATTTCTGCAACTCGCGGAGTTTGCATATAACAACAGTTATCAGTCGAGAATTCAGATGGCTCCGTACGAGGCTTTATATGGGAGGAGGTATAGATCTCTAGTTGGATGGTTTGAGCCAGGTGAGGCTAGGCTCTTAGGTACAGACTTGGTTCAGGACACATTAGATAAGGTGAAAATGATTCAGAAGCGATTTTGCACGGCGCAGTCTAGGCAGAAGAGCTATGCGGATAGGAAGGTCCGTGATGTGTCTTTTATGGTTGGGGAGAAGACCGAGTGCTGAGTGACTGAGAGGCATGAGTGATTGTGAGGTATGCCCGAGTGGCACGAGTGACTGTGAGGTTTGCCCGAGGGGCTATATATGAGTGATGTTTTGCCCGAGGGGCTGCTTATGATTTCATCATTTTTGCTCATCTTTGCATTGAGCCTTTGCTTGAAAAACTGTTTGAAAAATATCTTTAAATGATTTTTACTGGAACCGGATTTAAACAAGATGATTTGATTCAAACACTGATTTTTAAAGCATGTTGTACTTTACTGAGATTTCATGATATGAACGTTATATGCTTTATTGCTCGTCACTACTGCTCAGTCTTTATTTATTGTTGTTACTTACTGAGTTGGCGTACTCACGTTACTCCATGCACCTTGTGTGCAGATTCAGGTGTAGCTGGACATGGTAGCGGTTATTGAGTGTTCTGGTTGCAAATATTTCTTGGAGATAGCAAGGTAGCTGTTTGGCGATCGCATCTCCTGCTCTTCTCCCTATTATCTTCCTCTAGTTGTATTTAGCTACTTTCCAGGCTGAGTTAGCCTTGATATTGTTAGACAGATTGTAGTAGATGCTCATGACTAGTGACACCCTAATGTCGGGCTTTTCTTTCCGCACTTCTGTATTTCTTTGATTTGAACTCCTTAAATGAAGGTTTTATGTTAAATAGTATTGAAATTATCTTTGAAATGGAAATACCGGTTTGTTTGGAAATGAGTCAGCTTGCCAAGTTCCACGATAGGCGCCATCACGACAAATTAGATTTTTGGGTCGTGACAGGATCACTTTGTACAAATCGCATCGTCACTCCTCCAATCAGAGCGCTTTGTACAGATCGCACCGTCACTCCGCCACATCGGAGATTCCAAGTAGATAGTTGCAAAATGCGTTGCCAACAACACCAATCGAAGGATAGACCGTTAAATTTCACCCCATATTCTGCAGATTGACGACCACAAATTAGTTCTGTAGCGTAGAATATCTCTTGGGCATGCTCATCTACTTGTTTTGTTTATCTTGAATGCTTTTATTTATGCAGCTTACATGCAGTTGTTTACATTCAAAGTCAAATACTCCCATTGTACAGAGTTTTTAAATTCAAAGTCAACTACTCCCATAGCGTGGAGATACTCCAATCATGCTGAGAATTTAAATTCAAAGTCAACTACTCCCATCACGTAGAGATACTCCCATCACGTGGAGATTCAAATTCTTCGACAGTTGCGGAACGGTACATAACTCGGCTAACAATCAAGTCAGATTCAAAGGTCCATCTCCGACATCCCAAATAATGCTCCAGAGCTCGTAGACTTCAGATTCAAGCATCCCATCGCCCCACGATCCCAAACAACGGCTACACGGCAGCCAAACATCATCATTCCTGCATGTTTACATCATATCTTAATGTATATGCATTATGATATATGGGTATGCATGTATTTTCTTTTTGCAGGTTCAAACAATACAGCGTGAAACTTCTTCTAAGCAACAAACCAAGTTACACTGATATGAGGGACAACAAACTCATAAGCGAGCCAAGGATCCAAACTCCAACTCAATCCGATCAGTAGGACTCCAAAATCGTCAAGTCTTTCAAATCTCATAATCAAGCTACAATTCAGAAGTCATTCGGGTTTCAAAATCCTTTCGTCTTGCAGTATCGTCATAACACGATACTGGGGCAATTTCTACAAGCGCCACCCTCTCCAAATTATCATTCCAGAACTACACGAGGCCTAATCCTCGTTAAGCCCGAGGTATGTTTGTGATTCAAAGCCAGAATTCGGCCCTAATCTCACAACTCATGACCATCTTTGCAATACATGCCTAGAGTCGGGACAAAATTGGTCTTTAAATTAATTTCTTTGCCCGCAAACTCTTTCATCATTTTCGGTCAAAGAGAGGCAGCTGTTGACGATCAATTTTGACTCTTCCTTTTAAAATTACATTATTTATGCTTATTAAGTAGAAATAAATGTGGTATAATATTTTCTAATCAATAATACCTATTTTTCTTAAAATATAATAGGTAATAATAATTAACAATGTTGAATTAATAGAAATTTGGTAAATATTCATAAATTATATTAATCTTACTATTTGAAACTATTAAAATAACCTTCATATTTTAATAAATAAGTTTTAAAATTAATTTAATGAATCAATTTTTAATTTTTAATTATATTGCCTTTATTGCTCTAATTAACCAAAATTAGTTTCACAATTCAATAAATAAAATACTATAGTAATAATTAATTACAATAATTAATAATATATTTGGTGATTATATTTTATTATATTTAATTAAAATAATTAAGTTAATTTTTAAAAGGGGTTAAAAGCTCAAAAGGCTACAACTGTAATTAATTAATTAAACTCAATGTGGCCATGTGTTAAATTCTATTCCAGCTATTTTGGCCCAAATACATGAGCCCAAACACCCCTGAGCCGGTACATACCCACCTTCTTTATCCCATGTTGGTAGTCCATGCCATTTCCTCTGAGCCAATGACATCGCGCCATGTCACCTCTCATCCACACTCACATAAGAAACACATCTCATCTGAACCATTGATCCAAATAATTAATGGTCCATGTTTAAACCAAATTTTTCCACTTATTTTAATACCTCTCAGCGATTTAACTCCGCTGTCGGATCAAAGAAATCCAACGGTCATCATTTTTTCACAATAAGCCATTTTATCTCCAACCGTTGATCACAATGATTCAGCAATGATCCAGCAACTCCCCTTCATCTATCCACATTAAACTAACCTAACCCCTTCCAACCCTACCCGACGCCCTTATTTCCCAATTCCCTCTCCTTTCTCTCGTCCACACACCCGTCAATCACCAGAACCTTGAAGTCACAAGATTCAATCATAAACCATCCATCCTGTCCCTATATCCGCGAATCCATCCGATTCATTTCCATTTTTATCACTGTAATTCAAAAACTGCAAATCAAACCCTAGACCTAAAAGTACGCAACTGAAATTCATATGTCCTTCCATCATATTTCAAATTGGAGCATGCATGTCCGATTATTATCATTATTATTCATGTCCATAGGTCAAACACAGTGACCTCTGGAAATTAGAGCTTTTCCCGATGGGTCTTCACTTTCAACGGTCGATTCGTCCACTCTCGTGCCAAGGTAAAGTTCTTTGATGATTTTCCCCCTGTTTTTCTCTGATTTCACCCGCCTTGCTATCATCATCCACACTTGTCATCATCCAATATATAATTTGAATCTGCCGGAACCCTAATGCATTGAAGGCCACTATAAATACGGCCTCAAATGCTCTCACCTAACATAAGTTAATAGATATCGATTGATATCAATATTCACCAACACCACTCATATATACACTGAGAAATCAAAAGTTCAAATTTTTTTTCTGCTAAATCTAGGTTTTAGTAGTGTTCTTCTCCAATTTATTGATTTCGTCTTTCATTTCTGGGTGAGTTATGTTGCTATGAGTTAGACTGTTGTGAGTTTATGCTTTCAAATGGCTAAGGACCAACATTCACTTGGTTTGCTGCCCTGCAGAAGGTCAGTACATACAGACTCCCCTTTTTTACTTTGAATTAATCGCATGGTTCTGTGTCCTTGATGATTACTTTGTTAATTCTCTATTGTTTAGGATAGATATTAGTTGTGAATCCATATTTTCCCCACCCTGTCTTTGTATGCTAGTTTCACTGCTGAATTGGAAATCTTTTGATTAACTTTACTAAGCCTCTATGATTAAGCTAAGTTAACTTTTGTGCAGATTTTGTGCATAACTCACCTCTGTTAGTTAAACAACACTTATATAAGCATAACCATGTGAGCTACACTAACTGAATCATGTTTCTTGGATTGTTCTTGGTATTTTGCATCTCCAGTGATGAGATAAACTTGACCAACTTTCTTGTGACACTGTGTTGCTATGTCCTGGTCTAGCAAACGACTCTCCCTATATTTTATGTCTTATACTTAACCTGTCCACTTTAATGACCTTGGCTGATATATTTGTAGTTGATAACCTGCCTATTTTGCATATTGAGTGATCAATGTATACCTGTTACTCTTAGAGAATGTTAAGGCTTCATGATTAATTGAATTAAATCCTATGCTAACAATCTTGTATGTGATCTGTTAGTCAAGTAATTGGTTCTATGCATGCTATCATGGAATAAAATCAGACCTTTGAACTCCTCTTAAGAACACTGTTAACTTCCCAACACTAAGCCATCTCGACATTTGTGATGCTATGTTGTTTTGCCTTAGTCCTAGGAGCATAATTGTGTCATTGCTCATGTTCTCAAGTTGATTTGTTTAGGCTCTAGTTAGCATCCTGTTCATACTACTATGATAAGGTGATATTTGTGTGCTTCTTATGATAGTTGGAAACAAAAGAGACCATATAATGAACTCTGTTAGTATGTTAGAAGGCGTGCTCTCATGTCTGAATGTGATTGACCCCTATAAGAATGCCATCTCAAGATTGCTGATGTCCTGCTAGGTTGAGCCATGATATTATAATAACCTGTATACATATTCATGCACTACGTTTTGCTAGTGAACCCGTTTGCATATCCATGTGTTAGTATACTTTGACATGTTAGCCTAACTGTTAAAACGATAAGATATTAATGAGAAGTATGCCTTCTCTTAATTATGTAAAGGGTTTTAGAAGCCACTGTGAACCTTTTTTATGATTTGAATCTACTTAGTAGAATTCTGATACATTAGACTTACAGTGGAACCAATAAAACAAACACATGTGCTCATCTCTGTATGATGCTGATAATTTAAACTACTTGTTAACACTTCTGAGCCTAAAGAGATAAGTGAAGAGGCATATCTATGTGCAGTTGACTACCCGTGCCCTATAACCTTATTTGACTATATCCCCATAGTGACTCCATGCCTGCTATAGTATCTTATTCTATGATGTGGATTTTCTAAGTCAATGTTGTGCCTTGGACTGTTCTCTGTATTGTTATAAACTACAATATCCTATTTGCTTAAAGTTGGTAGATCTGTATGTGTCTGAACCTTAAAAAAGGGGTTTACCATGACTCTTACACCTACTGTTTGTATCTTGGTAATATGAAATTGCTATGTTGAGCCCTTTATTTATGTTTAAGCCTCTAAGGAAGATTAATAGTGGGTGGCTAAGGGTATTTGGATGTGAAAACTTATTTTGTGGTTATGACACCCCTCCTTGACACAAGCACTACTCGGAGTCCGTGAGGCACTCGTGAGCTCTGAAGTGTCAAGGGTTCAAATGAGGGATTATATCCATAAATGAGGATTTACACCAAGCCTTTAGTCATTAACTCTTATTAATTCTCATAGGATTAACACAAATGAGGAATGACTCTACTGTATTCTTTAGCTTTTGTGCTTATCATTATGTTATTTCTTCCCCACATGGATATACTAATTATTCTCTTTTCTTTTGTACGCATGAATTCAAATTGGGCCTGATGAACCCATTTGGAGCTCAAGTCCAATTTCCAGATTTGGGTCATTTCGTTCTAGCTGAGTTCACTGCTTGTGCTGGGCCTGGCTATCAGCTGGCCCATATCGAGAGTCCAGTTCACATTTCTCCTTCCTTTAATTATACTTGTTGTTCTTTACCGCTTCTGTGTGTATACATACTTTAGAAAAACTAATCATATTGAATGTGTTGATATTTGGATTGTTCTTTTAGGGACTTAGGCAAGCCAATGCTCATAGGTAAATCAAATTAGAAATTCTGCTCACCTTAGATCTTTTAATGTTTGATCACTAATTAATTTCCAAACCTATCTTTCAAATAAATTAAAGGCCTTATCTTGTTATCACTAATGATTTTCAATAAGTTTTAGACTTTGGTAGAATCAAAAGCGAAAACAAAATCTCTTTGGAAAATTAGATTGCGGAAATAATTTAAGAAGCCGTCTTCAAAAAATTAAAGCCAAACTCAACCAAGCTTATAAAATGATGAACGTCATCGAGTTTTAAATACAAGGTTCCCATTGAAAATTAATTTGCAAATAATGTATACTCACCTCAACTTGAGATATAGTTTCAATATGGTCGATTTCTTAATTATAAATTCAAAAACAAATAACATCGTTCTTTTCAAAAGTATATACATCTTCCTATATCAAAATAGTGAATTTTTAGATTAGACTTAGAATATTATTTATAGACTTTAAAACATAGGATTAAACAGGATATAGACATTTCTTTCCCCGAACCTAACCTAAGCCTAAGGAGCTACCTTAGGTAGATTTTGAGGGGTGCCTAACACCTTCCCCTTAGAATAATTAGAACCCTTACCCAGATCTCACCAATTATCAGACTATTAGGATAATAATCTCACAAATCTATAAGTACCCTAATATACCTTAAAATATTAGGCGGCAACTCTCTTTTTATCAACTTCAGAAGAACCATTAGTTCTATTTTATTTTGACTAGTACAAAATAGGGTGCAACAACACTCAGTTCATGTCGCATTTCTGGAGATCCGTTCAACATGATTTGGGCAAGCAAGTTGAGTTAAGAACTACATTTCACCCTCAGACGGATAGGCATTTCGAGCAAACCATTCAAATTTTGGAGGATACACTGAGAGCCTGTGTCATAGACTTCGGAGGACAGTGTGATTAGTTTCTTCCATTAGTGGAGTTTACATATAATAATAACTATCAATCAAGCATCCAGATGGCTCCATATAAGGCATTATATGAGAGGCAATGTTGTTTTAAGGTTGATTGGTTCGAGCCCGCGAGGATAGGTTACTGTGCACAAAATTGTTTTGTGATGTTTGGAGAAGTTGAAATAGATTTAGGAGCAGCTTTGTATTACACAGTCCAAACAAAAGTTGTATGTCTATAGGAAGGTTCAGGATGTAGCTTTCATGGAGGGTGAGAAGGTTCTTCTCTGATTTTTGCCTACGATGGGCGAGATGAGATTTTTGAAGATTTTCAAATTGTGCCCTCGGTATATTGGTCCATTCGAGGTGTTGGAGAGAGTTGGTGAGGTAGCCCACATACTTGCTTTGCCACCCAGCTTGTAGGGAGTTCACCCCGTGTTCCATGTTTTCATGGTTCGAAAGTAATATGAGGATCAATCACATATATTGAATTTCAGTTTAATGCAATCTGGCTTATGAAGAAGAGCCGGTGGCCATTTTTGATAGGCAGGTTCGAAATCTGAGGTCTAAGGATGTTGCAACAATGAAGGTCCAGTGGAGAGGTCAACTAGTCGAGGAGGTGACTTGGGAGACCGAGCATGATATGAAGAGAAGATATCCTCATCTATTTGACATTCTAGGTATCATTCTAGACTCGTTCGGGAACAAACATTTGTTTAGAGAGGGAGAATGTAACAATCCGACCGGTCGTGTTGTGTATTTAAGCCCCGTTACACTATTTGATGTTCCCTATATGTGTATTTGATATTTTATGACTTGAGGGGATGGTTGGTTTGGTTTCGGAAAGGTTTTGGAGTAATTGGGACACTTAGTTCTATTGTTGGAAGCTTAAGTTATAAAAGTTAACTAAGGTTTGACTTTTGAGTAAACGATGTCGAATAAAATTTTAATGGTTCTGCTAGGTCCGGATGGTAATTTTGTAATTAAGCATATGTCCAGATTTGGATTTGGAGGTTCCTAGGATGTTTTGGCTTTAATTATGGTTTTCGAGGTCCATTTGGGATTCTGAGCCTTGGAATAGGCTTGTGTGGTGATTTATGACTTGTGCACAAAATTTGGGGTCATTCCGAGTTGGTTAGGTATGGTTCAACATGAGTTCAGAAGTTGTAAGTTTAATTAGTTTATTAAGTTTGAATTGAGGTGCAATTTGTGATTTTGATGCTACTTTGTGTGATTTGAGACCTCGAGCAGGTCCATATCGTGTTTTGGGACTTATTGTTATTGTTAGATGGGGTCTCGATAGGCTAGGGTATGTTTCAAATAGATTATGAACCATTTGGATGTTGGATGGCATGTCTATTTCTGGTGTGCCGTACCTGCGAAACTTTGACCGCAGGTGCAAGGTCACAGGTGTTGGAGGAGTCCTTATAAGCGGAACTAGGCATGTGCAGGGGAGTCCGCAGATGCAGAGGTCTGTGCACAAATGTGCTTGCGCAGGTTCGAAGTTTTGTCCGCAGGAGCGGATCCACAGAAATGGATGTTTGGTCGCATATGTGAGTGGTCAGGATTTAGTGAAACTCACAGAAGCCAGTGTTTTGTCACGTAAGCGATGCCGTAGAAGCCTTAGAATTGGTCGCAGATGTGATATCACTGGGAAGAATATTATAATCGAGGGTTTGGCTTCATTTTGGCTCGTTTGAGGTAAATATATTGCTTATTCTTAGTTTGAGGGTAATTTCCCCATTGGCTATGATATTAGTTATGTGTTGGGGTGACGCACATGCGAGATGCCAAGCGTATTTGCGTGCACCATGGTTAAGATTATGATCCGGGTGGACTTTTGTCTATTATGTTCTTCGTTTTGTTATCATGCCTCTTTGATACCGTATTTTCTCCACATGTATGACTACGTGAACTATTATTCATGCTATAAACCATGTCTAGGATTTGTACTTATCTGTTTGAGACATGATAGAGTTGTTTTTGCTAAATTGAGCTGTTTGCCTTAACTTTAGTCATATATTCAGTCATGATATTATATTTGTGTATTATATCTCACTGTTTGTGAATTCTTTATATGTTATCTCTCTTGTTGTTAGTGTCCTTATTTGCGTGACACAAGTTAAAGCTGAGTTATGGCATGTTCACATATTCCGTGTGATATTCTTGAGTATGGCACAACGAGATTTGAGCATATTGAGACTTGAGTTGATTGATGACTAATCTTGGGACATAGGGCCGCATTGGTGTTAATTGTGAGGAGATGTTTGCATCCATGCCCCGTCCTGGGCTAAGTGTCTTTGATTGTTGAGTGTGAGGTTGATTGCGAGGAACGCTTCGTTAGGGCCCATATTGGGATTTGTGATATTGAACGTTGACTCTTATTCGATCAGTGTTTGGGCTAGGATCCACCCCTCCGAAGTCAGGTATAACCCTGTGAGTGTAGGCACTTGATATGTGCTTAATAAGGGGTATATAACAGGCTCACTGACGTTGCTGAGTGTGAGAGTCTATGATGATTCAGGGGCATTGATCCAAGCACCGTGAGCGTGCTAAGAGTATGTTGAGGGGTAATTGTTCCATGCACTTTGTATGTGCTGAGACTTATGTTTACTTGATAATTACACTATGATGTTGTTGGTTTTAGCATTATACTTGTTATGCAGGCATATAGTTGTACTTTTCTCATGCTATTTGATATCTATTGTCTTTAAACTTGATGCCTTGACTGATATATTTGGAAAGCATGCTGATTTTCCTCTTAAAGTGATAGATATGAACTTGATATTATTGAGCTGCTCTTCCTTTGTTATCCTTATGCTATTATTGTCTTTGCTGGTTATTGGAAATGAGTATTGGACTTTTCCAAGCTCGTCACTACTTTCCGCCCTAGGTTAGGCTTGCTACTTATTGAGTACATGGGGTCGGTTGTACTTATACTACACTATACACATCATACGTAGATCCAGGTTTTGTTAATCGCGGTAGTGTTAGAGCCAGATCTAGACTATTTGGGAGATTTCGAGGTAGCACTACTGTTTCTGATTGTTGGCCCTGAAGTCTCTTTCCTTGTTTTGTGATTATCACTGTTTAGTCTTTCGAACAATATTGTATTTGACTTAGATCATGTATTTACTCATTCGATAGAGCTTATGTACTCGATGACACCAGATTTTGGGATGGTTGTTAGTTTTATCACTATTTTGACTTTAGTTATTTATATTATTCCGCATTTGATACTATCTAATACTGCTATTTAAGTTTATTTCTGCTTGTTGGTTTTTGGCTTGCCTAGTAAGCAGTGTTAGGTGCTATCACAACTTTTGTGAGATTTTGGGTTGTGACAGCTAAATAACTCATTAACATAATGTGAACTATATAACTTGTATTACACAATGCCCATTAATTATTCATTATCTTTTTCAGTATTTCAATAACCACCAATAAAAAGGCAATCCGAATTACTAAGTTCTCGTTATGCGTATGGTCTGGGAAAGGGCTAAATTACCATTTATGGCTATTATTAGTGTTCATTAATTCTCCAACTCCCAATCATAAACAAACTTCATAAACAAACTTCATAAATACTCTTAACCTGCAAAAATACATGTCATAAATGAGTAGTGGTGGAATTACAATGAGTGAATCAAATCTTGAAAATCAAATCTTGGGGTGTTCTTGACAACCTTGATGATTTGGGAAGAAATCTATAGGTTCCAATGTTATATTATGTTAATACATGTATTTAGGAGTAGTAATTAACTCAAGACACTCCAAAGTATTACCTTAATTGAGTGAAATGATGCCGTGGATGAATGGGGATAGAGAGAGAAAAATCCTAGTCCAAGATCCCCCTTTGTCTCTTTTCCACCAATGCTTCCTTTTATAGCCTAGTGGCCTTGCACCCTCTCACACAATGTGAGTGACATAGTGTGTGTCTTCTCCTAGACCTAGACTGCTCGCACACAAAGTATCACGACCCAAAATCCTAACTAAGGGGTTATGATGGCGCCTAACACAACTTGCTAGGCAAGCCAACACCTAACAATAATAA